TTTTTTTTTTTTTTTTTTTTTTTTTTTTTTTTTCTGAATAAACGCAATGTGGCTCAGGTACAAGAAGTAGACAAAAGTTACTGGAAGTTACTAGATGAAGAAGAAGTGTTGCGAAGTTGAAAGGTACCCTGAAAAGCAGACTTAGAGAATTAGCTCAAAATAAACAAAAAGGAAAATTTTTTTGCTGACTGAGCCACAATTTTGAGTCATTAGAAGAATATGTCCTTAATCTATAAAATAAAAGTTGATTTTTTGGTCCCCTACATTGTTTTAAAGTTAAAAATAATTTTTTATCTTACAGTGCAAATGTTCTACAGATAAGTGCTCAGTAATAAATTCAGCATTAAATTTCAACTTCAAAATGTTCAAAAAGAGCTCTACTTCAACTCGTATTTAGCTTAATCTCCGCAATAATTCTGCCCTCGTGAATGCGCTGGCTTAAATGCTCAAAAAACCAAAAGTCTTTATCCTAAAGAGTTTCTACTTTCTCATGCTACGTTCTTCAAATACTTTACTAAAGCAAATAGAAGGAAAAATATCAAAGCAGTCTAAGGCTGCTTCAGTAATGGCTGTCAGTCGAAAAAATATGAACGAACTGTCACGCAAATGTGTGTGAGACAGAAGTCGTTCACAGGTGTAAACAAAACGGGAAAAAGTCTTCTAATTAACCCTGAGTCTGGCTTGAGCTCACTCCTGTAAAATAAACTTCATGGTAAGCCTAACCATTTTTCTCTCACCTTTGCTGAGTGAATATCATATGCAAAAAATTTTTCAGGAAGGAGGAAGAAACAAGCACAATAAGAGCTCTCCCTTTAAGTCATGTTATTTGAACTTTTCTAGTCCATATCCTCTTTCTTTCCCCCTCTCCCCTCCCCCAACCTTAAATCTATTACCTATGTAAAAATATAACAAACCCTTGTCATTTTCGGTTCTTCTGGTGGTTCAATGATCGCCTTAATATAGAAGAACTTTTATTTTGAACTCAATATCGATGCGAGTTAATGGCAGAGAATTACGCTGAAAATTCAGAGTGGCATTTAGGCCAAAAAAAAAGTCTAAAAATTTGAAAGCCCTGCTGAAATACACGTCCAGTTTTGCTGACCAACCACGCAAAACCAAATTAGAAACTCATGCAACTGTTAGTAAATCATGATTTTTTTATACAGCGGCCCTCGCTTAACATTCGAACAACTTTGCCCTACATTGATCACTCCGTTTTATTATTGTATCCTTTGTCTGCGGCAACACCTCTCTCCAATTTACCACCTTCTGAAGAATACATTTTATCACTACCTTCCACCGTCTTTTCGCAGTGATCAATGCACATTTCTTTCGCTTTATTAAATGCTGTCAACTACATTAAATCAGAAATGTACAAAACTTACTCTATATTATCAACTGAGTTTTCATCAAGATAAAAAGCAGGGTAGTTTTTGAAACAGCATTACTCCCTGTCTGTCGCGACCATATGCTAAATGGTAAATTTAAAACGAAAAATGGTTAACAGTGCCTGACCACTGTATGTTTCCCTAGGAGAAGCTCTCAGAGGGGCAGCGGAAAGGAACATTATAAGGGTTGTGCGGGTGTACAAATAAATGGTAAAGGTCAATCTGGGTTACTCTCCAAATCCGATTTCGATCAGTGACGTTCTCCTTTTACGTTCGTTTTCTCCACTGTTCCATCATGTGCACGCGGGCAGATTATACTTATTCTTCGTGCTGGTTATTACTAATACGAAGTAATTGTCAGAGATAATTGTTTTTATATTGTTCCTTATTTATTGATTATCTACACCACGAAGTGTGCAATAGTTACTGAGACTGCTCTTCTACTGCATTATAACGCGGTGTGACAAATAAACTTGTAAATTTAAATAATCACAAACAATTTGAGATTCGCAAGTTCATTGGGAAATAAGATGGATATAATGGGCTCTTCCTAAATTTGCTGAGTAGTTGGTGCTGTAAGCAGTAAGGACTAGTTGCGCTCACAATAACAGCTTGTAAAAATTAGGCTCCATAAGACATCAAGAAGAGGAAACGAGGAAGTCCGATCTTCAATTTTAAGAAACTGTCTGCCGGCTGCGACACTCCTATTAAAGCATTTGCCGGTCCAATACAACTTTGAGAATCAACTGTAAATCACAAATTGTTAAACTGTTATCCAAAGTTTTAATCACCATTCTGGTATCTACCACCTCAATTCGCAAGCATTTTTAATACTCCTCTGGCGTCCTGCACCGCTTCCAGATATAGATAGTTAACTTAAAGAACTACTTGGAACTGTTGTAAATATTTAGACCAGTATAGAGATAAAGGGATGTATACGCTGACTGGTGAAGGGCTGCATCTCCCCTAACCTTCCTCCTGTTCATCTGTTATTAAATTAATGAAATAGGTCTTCAAGCCAAAAGATCCAGTAGAAAGTTCACAATGGTCTCATAAGCAAAACCTCTGAAAACTTTTAATTAAAGTTTAAAATATCAAAAAAAAATTTTTTTTTAACGTAATAAGAGGTGTGATTTTTTGATTGTTACTGGTAGATTTTTAATGTACAATTTGAAAAACGAATAAACCACTGGGGTAGATGTCTCTAAGTTCTTCAAAAAAGCTCATCTGAAGCAAAAACTAAGACGGTGCGTAATACCTTAATTTCCAATTTTAACCGCAAGTTGATTAAAGCCGAAATGAGGTAAAAGGTGCAGTGTGAACGTGCGAAACAACGGCATTCCCCATATTACGAGTGGGAAAAAGTTGCTATCCAATAAAAGACACGGGTTTTTTGCGAAACACGTTCTTGATGAACTTTCCTCCACATTCTAAAACAGAGTGTGAATAGAAAACTATGTGGGATACTCAGATGTATCATTGTGTCGCTACTTATGAAAAGATGAATTTTGGCAACACCTTTAGTATACACCGAAGTATGTATATAGGAGTTTTAGCCTAAGAACTGCACAGTGAAACTTTTGAAATTCCCGCGTTTAGTAAATATGGCGTTCCTCCACTTGGCGTTACTTCTGCTGCTACCGTTACCAAACGAATTTGAATTTTTCAAAATAAAATTGAACAAGCGGCTTTTGGAGCAGTTAGATTACTTCGCTCCTCGGCAGATGAAATTTGAAACGTTGAAGTGCTTCCTTTAAGCTAGAGTCTGAAGTATCTTTGGTTGTGGTGCCAGAGGGGTCCGTTCGGTCGGCACTGGTCTCTGCCGAAGAATATTTGATTGTGTTACCCATTGGGCAAGCTAAAGATTCCGTGGTCTCGTCCAAATCGAGCAATTCAATACATTTCAATTGCTCTCATCAGTTCAATAAAAAACTTATATTTTTTTCTGCATTTTTGTCGTATTCATTTATTTAAGCAGCACCTCTGGTTTCGTCAGAATCTTTAATTTTCACCTTGTGTGCTGTTGTCTCTGTCACTTGTATGGCTCCATATTCTCATCCACGTGCCTACAAAAGAATTCTTGCTGCTAAAAGCAAGGCTCGCTCCGGTAGCTCTTGATACTCTAGTTTTTCGGATGTTTAAGTTTTTCTAGCGGTTCATTCTTGCAGAAGAAAACTTTTTTTTCTTTTTCTGGGGATTCCGTCTATTTCTTTTCAATTGTTAAAGTTTGTTTAGCCAAATTATCGTTTAGCTGTATTCAGAGTTGACGCTTGCTGATTGGGATTCATTAAATTATGCTGCTGAAATAGAAGTGAGTGCGACCACATCAGAAGAAAATATTGAGAGAATAGATGCCTCAATTATGGATGCGGAAGAATTCAGGAATTCATATGAACTTCGTCATATCCCTTTAATTTTGTTGGGACTTACAAAAAAGTGGGATGCAAACTATAAGTGGACACTTGAGGCGAGAAAATACTCTCAAAAATTCTCTAACTTTTTCTACTGCTGCTTATACTTATATTTTCTTCATTTGGTCATTCATCCTTTTTAGCGCTTGGCTAGGAAATACCGTAACCAAAGGTTTAAATGCGGTGAGGATGACGATGGGTTGTCAGTAAGACTGAAGATGAAATATTACTGCGAGTATATGCTGAATAATAAGGATGATAGTCCTTTGTATATATTTGACAGCAACTTTGGAGAGGTGGTTTTTTCTGATTTATTTCGATTTAGTTTTAGATATGAATAAACTTTTAATGGTCAGCACTGATCTTCTGGAAGTCAATTAAAAATTTTTTATCTAAAGATTTTGGACGGAGTATTTAGAGTTGAATATCACGTTTCTAAGCAAAAGAATTGGGTTTGCTGTATAATTTGTTAAATTGATTATTGAGACTTGAGAATAACGTGAAAGTTTTATTAACCGAATGAGAACATTCTTACTGCTTTACGGTACTTAAGGCAAAGTTTCAGCGTAATAAGACGAAACGGTTACTGGAGGATTATGAAGTTCCCGTTATGTTTGCAGATGACCTTTTTCGTTGTGCTGACAGTCGAAGGCGACCTCCGTACCGATGGTTTGTTGTCGGACCAGCTCGTTCAGGTACTGGCATTCACGTAGACCCATTAGGAACTAGCGCTTGGAATGCGCTAATTCGAGGGCATAAAATGTAAGTGGTCTTACCGGCATAAAGTTTTTGAATTTCGCCTGAAGTTGAACCGCTGTATTTAAGATGGTGTATGTTCCCTCCTAACACACCAAAAACACTAATGAAACCGTTGCCACATGAAAAAGGTTCACATCCTGATGAGGCCGTTCAGTGGTTTCGAACTGTGTATAAGCGCGCTTCTTTACCAAACTGGCCAAAAGAATTTCCAATGTATAGTACAGTACAGAGACCTGGCGAGGTTATGTTTGTACCAAGTGGTATGGAGATAGCGTTTCTTGACATGTGATATGTTGTTGCTGCTATTATTTGTTACATTCATCAGTTTGAGGAATGAGAAACATGGAAAGTTTTTCCAAATAAATAAGAGCCGGGGTATAATATGAACCAGACTACTTTTTAGGATGGTGGCATGTAGTTATGAATCTCGATGTAACAGTTGCTGTTACACAGAACTTCTGTAGTACTGTGAACTTGCCTATGGTTTGGAAAAAAACGGTGAAGTCTAGGCCGAGGTTTGCCAAGCACTGGTTTCGATTGCTG